GCACTGGATTTAGAAAGCGGCATTTAAGAACAGAATATGTCATGGAGCCCGTGTGTAGAACTGCAATGAGGAAAAAATTAGTTGATGTACTGAATCTGTCTGCTATCTTTCCAGCTGTTCATGTGTTTGATCTATAAATGTCCATAGCACTTTCATGATACACGTTGGGACTTTTGGCTCTTTTATGAAGTTCACCACATAAAGATAGATCAATCTTCTCACAGTGTGGGCTTCCAGGTAAGAGCCATTAACTGCCTTAATTCTGAGGTGGTTTTGTGCCAGATCTTCCAGCAGGTAGGACTGTAGGAGATCCCATCCAGCCAGTCTCTTCCCAGGGTTGAGTGAGATGATGAGAGTCGACAACCCAGACTCCCCTACCAGTTACCGGAGAGAAACACACTGAGTTGGGAGACTTGTCGAAGCAGGATCTCATTTTAATGCGACAGGCAGGAGCTTATATAGGCTCGAGGTAGGGGATGGGAATCTTAGGATGGGGTAAGGTGACATGAGGAGTAAAGGCCAATAATAGTCTACCATGCTAACAGTTAGCCAGGCAGAGGTAGTTCTAGGTTGGTCTGTGCTGAGTCATCTATGTGTGGAAGTTATGGCCAAAGACAGGTCGTCAAATTTGAGTCAGACTCAGGAGGTTACACTGGGCCTCACGTCTGAGCCTTTTTAGGCCCAACAGTTTTGTATTATAAATGTAATTAGATCACATGCTCCCTTAAAAGGCGTCAGGGCTCTTCATTGGTCTTAGCTAAAGATGAAACTTTAAAACATGGCCTAGAATGTGTTTGGTCCCCTAATTCTGACCTCTCTCTGCAAGCTGACCTCCAGCCTCTCTCCTTTTGTTTTCTTCACTTTCTATGCTCTTTCTTATTTTGTCAACCATCAACCTTGAAGTCTTGGTGAAATACCCCTTGATTCCTATTAGCCTGTCTCAAATCTCCTTGGGATGTCTGCTCAAATTTCATATCTTTTTTTTCATTGTATTTATCAGAATTGTAACTATGCAATTGTGACTTAATATCTGCAGTAGTTGGAAGCAGAGCTGTATTGCTTCCAAAAATTCACAATGCTTAGACGTGTCTAACAAACAAAGAGGGCAAGTCCAACAAAAGTGTTTCCAAGTATCAAAGAATATCTCTGTTGAATAAATAAAGTCTAAATGGAGTATTCCTGTTGAGACATACATCATCTCATTTGTGGTGAGGGACATCTGAAGTATCTGAATAATGTGGAGAGAGACTGCCATTGGTACCATCCTCCAAAGACACATCCTAACAGATGTAGACACTATGGTCGGCATAGCAGTTGTCTATCCAGGAGAGACTAGTAACTTACTCTTGTATGAAGTAGAGAGCACACGGTAACTTCTCCACTTTTTGAAATCCCAACTTCTTGTCTCAGGGGCAGAAGGGATGGTTCAGTGGTAGACTGCTGCCTTTCCAGAAGACCCAGTTTGGTTCCTAGCTGACTTCCCAGGACCTACATCAGGAAGCTCACAACCACCTGTAACTCCAGCTCCAAAGACTCTTACATACTGTCCTTGTATGTGTAAACCCACAAGAGACAGACAGACAGACACACACACCACACACTATATATATATATATATATATATATATAATAAAAAATAAACATAACTTTGAAAGAAAGAAATCTGGAAATGACTTTAATCATACCCATCTTTAGCTATCTACTTTGTAGTTAAGTATGAGCAGATATATATATTTTGCTGTTCCAAGATTAAATTCTCCCATTCTTCCCTAATACTAACCTCTCATCCTGTTCACTTGAACTTACTCTTTCTTACTTGTAAACACTGTTCCATTAATTCCCCTTGTCTGTCCAGGATACTTATGTTTTCCACTTTGCTGATTCAACCGGACATAAAACCTCACTGTTATGTTGGTGTTAAAAGTCACTTTCCATCAATTGTTTATTTCGTGATGCTCCCGGTTCTCCACTCACCTGTACAAGAAAACATTTTGAAAAGGTTGATGATATTCTGTCTCAAATCCATACTATTTTCTCTTCAGTTCTCTCTAGTTAGTCTGTCATTTTTGTCACCAAGAGCAAAACTCAAAATGCAAAAGCCTGCTGATGCACATATCAATCATTTGCACCCCATCTTTTCTAAGGTTCATGTAGTACTCCTTGCGTTTTACTCTTCTCGTGGATTTTGTTTTTGTTCATTAATGACAAGAAGAAATGAGGGATAGAAGCTATTTGTCCCTCTCCCATGATCCAATTTTCCAAGCAAATAGAATCATGTTACTAACTCTCTAGTGAATCCCGAGTTCATATCCCTACCACCTCATCTCAGCCTCCCTCACCACAGCCATGCTTCTATTGTCCTATATCAACCCAAGGCAGCTATGGAGAACCATATGCCCTGACACCCTATAGAACTCCACAAACTTGCCTGTACCCCCTTGCTCATGTGATCTGTCTTGCTTTATGTGACGACTGCCTTCCTCTGCTCCAACCTCTGCCAACTGCAGAAGTTCAAGCTTGCATATATGGCCCTGCTTGGTGAAGCATCCTCCCTTCTCTTGGCAGCAGGATGCAATGCGTTATTTAATTAACATGCTCTCTACTCTCACTGTGTATCATTATGGATGAAGATAACTCCTCTCTACCTCAGTCAAAAATCTCCTTATTTGTCCTGAACTCACATGTCCTCTCATAGGGGTTTCTGGCTTTCCAGTTTCTCTGTGTGGAACTCTCTTCTCATAGATAGGTGCCAGGAGCTGGGAAACTGGGAAACTGGCCTCTGGGGACAGAGCAGCAGAAGAGAACAGAGAGGCAGAGAGGCAGAGAGGCAGAGAGGCAGAGAGGCAGAGAGGAGAGAGAGAGAGAGAGAGAGAGAGAGAGAGAGAGAGAGAGAGAGAGAGAGAGAGAGAGAGAGAGAGAGGAAAGGAGGGAGAGAGAAAGGTGGGAGGTGGGTAGGGCCCTTAAAAAGGGAACGTAGTGAATGTGCACAGTTGGTGTTCTTAGTGGCTACACCTGAGGATGTATTCTGTCAGAAATCCCAATCCAGTACAGATGCTTGAATACTAAAACTCTTTCCTTTTAATTTATTATAAAAAGGTGAGGAGTTAGAAAGGGGTAGCAGGTAAGACGGGGATGAGGACACTGTGTTCTCAAACACTACTTCCTGCTCACCTGGGGGGCATCATTCATCTTTGGGGGACCTAGGAGATCTGGGGTGCTGGCCATGTCCTGAAGTAGCTGGATATTTCATTTCACTGTCCAGGCTCTGTGGAACCATCAGGTGCTGCCTGGACCTGGCAAAATGCTGTTCTTGGTGGATCCGAGTTGCTTCCCTAAGACTTAAAGCACCTGATCTTTTCCCATCACGACAGCACCACCTGGACACATTTGGTAGTCTTGTGCCTCCAGCTCTATGGTCAACGGCTGGAGGTCCTGCAACAATAACTCATTAGGTATAGTCAGTGGATCACCAGAAAAATATCCCAGTGGGAGAAAGGAGGCATAGATGACTCCTTACTCTCTTTCCAGAGTTGCTCAAGAGCCATATTATCTGTAGACAAGGTCTTTTCCTACTGTATTTTAATAGAGCTTGCCTTCCACCATGTTCTGTCAATCTTTGTGGATGTTCTCTGTTTTCCTCATTCACATTCCTAAAATTGTCAACACCTAAATTAGAAAACAGTATTGCTTTCTTCCTCCTTTCTTTCTTTGTTTCTTTCTTCCTTTCTTTCCTCCTCTCTTTCTTTCTTTGTTTTTGTTTTTTTGCAACAAACAAATTGCCTTTATTTCGGTATGCATCCACATCTCAACAATTAGTAATACTGAACAGAGTGGGGAACGTGGCAACGAGCCAGGAGGCCAGGCCCACCGATCTGAAAACTCATGACACAGAGCTCCTCCAGGTCCTGCCAAAGATCTGAGGAGCAGCAACCCTGAAACCTGAGCCCACAGGGTCAGGGCTTCTGTTCCAGTTGTCAGGTTCCACGAAAGACCTGATGGGTGGCCAGGGAGTCCTGTCCAAACCACTTCAGTGTGTAAAAGCAAAGCGACTACGAAAAAGGAACCGACTCAGTACCCTGTGCTCTGAGGACTCTCCGCACGGCCTTTCTTTAGGCACAACCACCAAGGACCCTGAGCGCTGGCGGGTTTGTCGCCTCGTGACTGACTGCTCTGTTCACCTGGAGACCTGAGCTCAAAGCCCATCAGATGATGGTGGCAGCAGGGGCGAGGACCTGGAACCCCCTTCCCAGACTGGTGGCAAGTGAACCTGCGGCCAAGAGCTAAGTGAGGAGGCCAGGCTGTTCCAAGCCCATCTCGTGGCTCTGGCCACAGGTGGTGATGGGCAACTAGGGAGTTGTGAAAGGGGAGAGCAGCACCCCTTGATAAAGGTGGAGAGACGAGAAACACTGAATTCCTCACCCACGGCCAATTTCAGAGGGAGGGGAGGGTTACAATCTAAGCTTTGGCCAAGGGCAGGAGCAGGAGAGCTGAAGGGGGGGACAATGGCTTGGAAGGGACATCACAAGACTTATGAATGCAGGGGTGAAGCCAAAGCACCCCCAAAACTAGCAGTAGTCCCAAGGCTGCTACCTGAAGCCTTCCCATCTATTCTAAGGGCTACCACACAGCTGTGGCAGGAGCGGGGGACGGGCAAAGGCAAACCCAGGCCATGTGTCAGCAGCAGGTGACTGTGTGACGTGTCTGTTCACAGTTGTGTTAGCTGTGCCCATCACTCCAAAAGGAAACCGATTTCAACACACCTTCTTGATCCCAGAAGTTCAACCAGGCCGCCAGAGGTTACACTCGACAGATATTACACAGCGCAACTTGGGTATTTCAAATGGGCAATTAATTAGGATCAGAACAGTGTCTCAGGATGAAGTCCGAGTGGAGCATCCTCTCGAGTACTCTGAGCTCTACAAAGATGAATCTAGAAAATTCACTACTGTGGAAAATAAGACTTAGGTTGGATTGGGGAGGGGAAACCGGGGCCTTGGTGACTAATTGCTGTAACACTGTCTTTCTGGCGGTTGTGGCAGCTTTATGTTCTCTTTTGACATCATCAGGCGCCGAAGCTCCTGCAGGATGACTTTGACGCTGTGGGAATTCTGCCACTTTGCCAGCACTGCCGTAGCCCTTGGATCCATCACTCCCCTGGAACTACTCATGCCGCTCATATTGACTTTTGTTACAAATCTTACAGATGGGAGCGCTTCTGGATATTTAGGTCCACATTCTATTTTAAGGCTGTATATTCGGGTTTCATAAATTGTTCTTGGAGACCCAATTATCATCCCTGTCCATCTCGTAAGTGTCATGTCTTCAACGTCCTCTAGACCCTAGCTAACTGTGCCGTTGCCTACTCCTTTCTGGCCTTCTTCCAGCTCTTCCAACAGTCGGAAATTTCGAGGGACTTTCACTCCCGAGCCTCTGGTGGCTGCCATCTTGCGTCGCTGTTGTTCCTCCACTTTCTTTTTAAAGCTAGGATTGTGTGATCCTGGTTGGCCTCCATCTCATTATTAGGATGACCTTGTCCTTTTGATTTTCCTCCTCCTCCTCCTCCTCCTCCTCCTCCTCCTCCTCCTCCTCCTCCTCCTCCTCGTCCTCCTCGTCCTACTACTACTATTACTACTTTTTGGACCTTGTAAATGTTAGGGGCATGGGTATGTAGCTCTATGCCCAGTTTGTGTGGTACCAGGACTTGATTAAATCCAGGGCTTCATGTATGCTAGGAAACTGCATGTTACTCCCCATAATTTGTTTTTGTAGAAACAACTATAGTGTAAGTTCTAAGAGGGAAATCATTCAGTGTATTACCAGGGTAGTCTATTACTTGTAACAAATAGTTACACACCAGATGTTTATTTGATGTATGGAGAGATAGGTGGGTAGGCAAATTAATGGATGTGGCTACCCCAGTGTTGGTGTAGAGGCTGTGCAAGAGGTGGTCAATGAGTCAGTGTTAACCTTTGTCTTTTCATATTCCTCTATAAGAATTTTACCTGGACCACGTCCCTCATCACAAGCTGATAGAAAGACACTTCAGTCAGCTTTGAAAAGGTGTGGAGTGCATCTAAACATGAAAGATATAAACAAAAGCTACACCATGTAAAATATATTGGAAAAGTTAAGGACTATGAAAAATAGCAGAAATGGGAGAAAGAAAAGTCACCCTGGTGCTACCCTTAGAAGCATTCCAGGGTGGCCCATGGGACCAAGGCACTGGTATTCAACAACCTTGCATTTGATCTAGCATCTCTCACTAGGCTGATGAGTCATATTGTTTTCTGAAACAGCATACACATAGAAACAAAAGCCTGACTAAGCTCTCAGCACTATGTAACACATTGAGTACTTTTCTCTCGGCAACAATGCCTGTTTCACAAATTATATGAAGAAATGCAAAATACTCTATTCTTTCAAATATTTATGTGCTGATACATATTATGGTTCTGTATTCTTTCCAGATGGTAGCAAATTGATAACGTGATTCTTGCCATATTTCACCCTCATAGGAACTCTAATTTCTAGGTTATTCCCTTTTGTTCATGACAGAAATCCTGTCATGTTTGGGCTCAAAAATCATGCATTTTAGGGTACTAGGAAGTTGGTTCAATAGGTAATGCACACTTTTTGTTCAGATGTGAGGATCAGAATTCAGATCCCTAGGATCTACATAAAACAGTCAGGTGGGCATAATGACAGCCTGTAATCCCATGCTTTAGGAAGCAAAGACAGAGAATTCCTGTAAGTCTTCCCAGCCATCTTAACTAACTGATAAGTTCAATTGAGAGACATTGTCTCCATAACTAAAGGGAATAATGATCACTGAAAATACTTGACATCAACTTTGAAGATCCATATGTATCTGCACCTCCTCAAATATCTTGCTCTTACAATATGGCCTAGATCTCAGTGATCTATGGTACCCATATGCACACATGGAAACACACAGAGACACATTCATATATACCGCATTCACGTTTGATGGTAATTGTGTACATTGATTTTTAGTCATGTCCCTAAAATCTAGGTAGCAAACCCAGGTCCCTTAGGCTTTAAGGAAAGAGCCTTCAGCTTCTAAGCCAGTGCTTCTCAACCTCCCTAGTGATGCAACAGTTTAATACACTTCCTCATGTTGTGGTGACTCCCAAACATACAATTATTTTCATTGCCACTTCATAACTGTAATTTTGCTACTGTCATGAGTTATAATGTAAATATCTTTGTTTTCTGATGAACTTTAGGGATTCTTGTAAATGAGTCACTCAACACCAAAGGGGACATGGCCCTCCTTAGGTTTTATGCTATTTTAAAAAATCTACAATATTTTAGATACACAAAGAAAAATCCTAAAACATTTGTGACAGGTCATGTTGTTATAGGTACAGTTAGGCACACTGTATGGCAGGTAAGAAGAAACTGTTATCTATCTTCTTATCCAGGTGATGTGATTTGAGGTATTTATCATTATGAAATGAATATATGTGGAAGGATAAAAACTCAGTGACCTGAAGAAATTAAACAGGGAAGGGTTGAAATGGGTGACATTGGCCTTTGTGATCTGTTCCTTAGTTGTCTCTTCATGTCATTTGTCCTGCTATGTTTTCATTTCCACTTTTAAAGCTTTGTTGGCTCTCTCTGTGCATACCATCATCTTCCTCTTCTAACTGGCTTTAATAGATGCCAGAAGAACCTTCCTATCTGACTGTAGCAAACATACACAGTCCTAGGCAGTAGTTTGACTAATGATTTTCCAAATTTATAATGTTGCAGATGTGATACATGCTCTGTAGGATCCACACTTCAATTATTTGCTGTTTTAAAAATATTTATTTTCATTTTATATGTATGATTGTTCTGTATGGTGGATGTTCTGGTAACTGAGCACAGACTCTCTGAAAGAAAACCTAGTGCCCTTACCTGATGGGGTACATCTCCAGTGCCTATACACACTTTTATTTTTATTTTTAGTTATGGTCTTCCTATGTAAGCTTAGACTAGCTTCATATTCAGGGCAATCCTTGTGTAACTTGCAAGTGCTAGAGTTGCAAGTGTGTACCACACCTTACTACAAAGTTTGCATTTTGAAGCTGTAGAACAATCATTTGTGATTCAAGGCAAGGGCAGTAAGATTTAGCTCTTTAAGCTAGCACTATGGGGGTAAATAAGCAAATGTGTACAGCATCCTGTTGCTACAGCAGAACATGTCATAATAAATAATTTTAATAGACCATATTTGTCTATTTACAATGGGCTTGTTGGAACATCACCCCATCACAGATCAAAGATCATTTGTATAACAAGTAAATATCCTTAGTGAGCATCCTATTGTTAAGGAAAATAAAGCCTCATTCCCCAGCACAGAATCCAAAGTGCTCTGTCTGGATATCACTGGGGCTTATATCTCTTGTCACTGTCCTTCCCCTGTGGAACTCATTCTTCACATTACAAAAACAGCATTCTTTCAAGATGATCTCACTTTTGTTTATTCAGAGACACAGTTTCATAACGTAGGTCAAGCCTGCAGCTCAATATGTAGCCATGGTTGTATTTGAACTCAGAATCTTTCTGGTTCAGTTTCCTGGGTGCTAGGATTAGAGGCAGGTGCCAACATATCCAGCTAAGCTCTTTTTAGACCTTTGCTTTTGTTTGTTTTCGTTTTTCTTAGCCAGTAAGGTATCAGATACCACAATGGTGCTATTGAACAAAGTGCCTATGCTGGTAGATTCTCTTTGACCCTCATCTACCCCATCTCAGACCCTTTTATCCTGATCCACCCCATAACTTTCTTTTACCCTTTCCTCCCTTTTTTCACGTTCCGTGTGTTCTTGTGTCCATATATCACCTCAGCATCTGATTTTTACCTCTCTTGCTATCCTTTGTGGTATTTTAGGCCTTACTCAAATGTGCACATATGTATACTTTTCCCCATGGTATACATTATATATTATAAACTAGAATCTGTCTAGAAGATAGAAAATACTCCTTTTCCCTTTTGCTGTTTGTATCACTTCCCTGAACACTGTAGCTGAATATCTGTTCTCTTGCAAATTTAATTTTTCCTTACAGATAAATAAGATCTCATAGTGTATATCTAGCACATTATCATTACCCATTTATCTGCTGAAGGACATCTATGCTGGTTCTATTTTCTTGATAATGTGATTAATATAATAACAATCACGGATGTGCAAGTGTCTCTGTGGTAAGATAAAGAATCCTTTGGGTATGAGCCTGGGAGTGATGTAGCTGGATCAGATGGTAGTTCTATTTTTAATATTTTAGAACCCTCCAAGCTGATTTCCATAATAGCTGTTCAAGTTTTCACTCCTACCGGCAGTGGGAAAGGATTCCTTTTTACCCGCATCTTTGCCAGTATTTACTGTTAGACTCATTGATGACAACTATTCTGACTTGGGGGAGCCACATTTCTAAGTAATTAATTTTCATTTCCCTCATGAATAGGCATGTTGATCTCTGGTTAAAAATACTGGCCATATGTGTTTCCTCTTTTGAGAACTATTTTCTTAACCCTGTTGTTAACAGGCAGTTTAGTTTTGGCATTTAATCATTGAAGTTCTTTGTATATTCGGGGTATTGACCTCCTGTCTGAAGTATAGGTAATAAAGATTTTGTGCCATGGTGTGAGATGTCTGTTTACTCTGTTTATAGTTTTTTTCTCTGTGTCTCAACTTCTTAATTTTGTGTAATTTCTTTTGTTGAGTTTTTGGGGGGTATTTCCTTTTCAGAGAGTTGCGGTCAGGGCCGGTGAGATGCTCCTGCAGGATATGATTCTGGCCACTAAGACAAAGACAAATGACCTGAGTTCAGTGTTCAGGGCCTACATAGTGGAAGGAGAGGACCTACTACACACACACACACACACACACATATACACACAGTTGATTATTTTGCAACATTTTTACCTATACTTAGTTATACCTTAAAGTTCATTCCTTGATTTTCTCTAGCAGTTTCAGCATCTCTGTTTTGATCCTCCTTGGGCTGATTTTTGCACAATGTGAAAGGTGTGAGTCTAATTTCATTTTTCTGTAGGTGAATATCCAGTTTCACCCGATTCCTTTCTTGAACAGTCTGTCTCCTTTCCACTGCCCGTGTTTAACTTCTTGCGAAAAACCAGGTGGTCCTAGTTTTGCCAGTTATTCTTGAATCCTCTTTTGTATCACATTGATGTACCTTCCATTTATGTGTGTGTGTGTGTGTGTGTGTGTGTGTGTGTGTGTGTGTGTGTGTCAGTACAAGGCTGTCTTTGTCACTATAGCTCTGCAGTATAATCTGAGGTCAGGTATTGTTATGTTTGCTGTTCTGATCTTTCTCTTTGGGATACTTTGGCTATTTGTGATCTTTGTATTAAGTTTCTATTAAGTTCTTATTCTGGTAGATTCTGTAGGGTCTTTTAGTATAGAACTGTGTTGTCTCT